GAAAATCTTGAGAAAAGAAAAAGAAGGAGAGGGGGGAAGAGAGAGAGATAGAGAAGTAGGAAAGAAAAAAATATAGAGAGGGGGGGTTGCGGCGATTGAGAAGGAGTAGAAAAGAGAGGGGAGATGGGTAAGGAGAAGAAGGGTAATTTTGGAAGAGTGGGTATGAAAAAGTAGAGTAGGAAGATTTTTTACCGGACGAAAAAAAGGTACAGTAGGAAGTTTATTCTTGGACGGAGGGAGTATCAATTTTAATTAAGTAGTGATCAAAGTTAAACAATCTTGACAACAAATATTGAGAATAAATTTTATGCAAATACGTTTTCATTTTAAAATGTACTCCGTAAGACACACACACACAGATATATATATATATATATATATATATATATATATATATATATATATATATATATATATATATATATATGAGATTGATTCCAGTCAGATGACACCTTACGGTGAGATGACATGCTTCGGTCAGATGACGCAAAGCTCACTAATGGCCACTACAAAGCTCACCAAAGACAATTACAAAGCTCACCTAACTGTTAAGTAAAACTCACCATATTTTTTCAATACTTTGAATTTTTTTTTAAAAATTAAAATCAAAGGAAGGGGTGCCGACTAGACTTTGACCATTGACCATTGACCGTTGACCATCACCGGAGACCGCCTGCCGCTGCCGACCATCGCCGCCGACCTCCGCCGCGCCGCTGCTACTGACTGGTGGTTGACCGGTGTTGCTATTTTATTTTTAATTATTTTTTTAATTTTCAAAATTAAAAATAAGTGAATTTTGGTGTTCAAAGTGTTGAGCTTTGGTTTATTTCCAGGTGAACTTTACATTGACCATTGATGAGTTTTGCAGTGTAATGTGGTGAGCTTTGCGTCATCTCACCGAAGCATGTCATCTCACTGGAGTCAATTCCTATATATATATATACACACACACCCTACACACACACTAGTATGCACTAATACTCCAGTACTTTAAATTTTATTTTACAATATTACAAATTAGACATAACAAAATAAAAAATCTTAAATGTACAATTACATGCAAATCTAAATTTATTTGTATGTACTGATTCTATCAAACTAATGAAATTATATTATAAATCAACAAAGTATAAAATCAAAGTTATATGTTGGTGCATGGAACATGTTTTAGTTTACTTTGGTACTTTTCTCAATAAATAATCAAAAGTAAGATTTTTTGTTTTTAAATGCTAAAAAATATTTAAAAATGAAATTGAAAATAAAATTCGGGCCCAATTTGGATTGCCCCTATTTGGACTACACGATCCAAAAAAAATTCTCTATTTTATAAAATAAAACCGGACTAGTTAGACAGATTGACTAAAAAGATCGAACCAATTATATTCTAAATAAAACTCCGTACCAGTCTTTTTTAAAAGATTGATCTGGTCCAAAGTACTTATACCATCTGAATGAATATTCAGTATCTCAAAAATAAATATTTAATTACTCAAAATAAATATTTAGTTATTCGTAAATGAGCACTCTACAACTAGTTTTACCGTATATCCAGTCCAACCATTTTGCTCATCTCTAAAGTGAAATACACTTGGGATTTAGTCATAGAAACTAAAGTCAAGCATTTGAAGTTTTTAAAATAAATTAGAAATT